CATCTGCACTGTGTCAAATGTCTCCTTTAGGTGATAAAACGAGTCCACGGATTTATTGTAATGTTTTGATTTGTGAATGCCAGTTTAAATGTATTTAAACAACTTACTAAAAGACATTCTATGTTACTAAAATAACTATTCAAATTTAACTAAGAGAAAAAAAAAGGAGCTATTACCTGTCAGGATTTTTTGACAAACTAGCCCAGCTTTAATTTTAAACACAACACTAAATTTTAAGCTAGGGCACCTCAGTCATAAACACATATTCATACAGTATATTGAGATGTACTTTAGTGCGGTGAGCCAAACAGAGATTAAAAATGTACCAGCCTGAGCTCAACTCAGCTCCAACTTCAGAACTTTTTTCTGATGCTGTGAGAATACAGAAACAATTCTCAGCACTCTAAACAACACATTTGCATTCTCTCTCTCTTTTTTTTAATAATCACAGTTCAACTGAATTTTGAAGACCAGCCCAATATCTTTGGTGTTCAATGGATTTCAGATGAAACAGGAGAGAATCTATGATGCAAGTCAACGCAGAAGACTTGAAGAACAAAGCTCAGCTTTAAAAACATGGCTATTTTATAGAACACATGAAATGTGCTCTTCTGTTTGTAAAACAAGTAATATTGCAAGATGTAGGCATTTGGTTTGCTTGTCATCTCAAGTCTAAAATTGGTAGATATCTGCTACATTATTACATTCACAATCATTCAGCACCATTATTTGGCTTGTAAAAATGAATGGGCCCATTTTCCTAACAACAGTCTAAAACATGCAAACTACACATCTGTGAGCCGTGTACCTTCCAGCCTCTGGATCTTCGCTTTGACTGAAATGACCGCTTCAAAGGGCAACACGCGCAGCTCAAAACAAGTCCCTGTCAGGGTCTCTATGAAAAGCTCCATAGTGTCATAAAAGGGAAGCTTGTACTGAAAGGTTCCCACACTGTCGTCGTTGAAGAAAGGTGGCTCCTTCCTGTTAGTCATCTTGGCCGGTTGGGAAAGAGACTTTAGGAGGATGGTGAATTGAAGAGGCTGACCCAAGATGATAAAGAGGGGGACTGTTCACTCGCCGCAACAATGCCACACATCATGTAGGATGGCCTCAGCTGTAAGATACGACAAGGAAAAGCAAACAAAAGCAAATTACTGGTCTCTATAATTTGATGTCTTGAGGAAACAATGTCCTTCCTGGAAACTGAGCTGTTGAAATAGTGTTAAAAGTTGGTTTCGCATTTATTAGCTAAACTCACGCAGCAAAGTTATTTAGGATTTGTTCACACATTTAGTTGTTAATGTTTTTAAAACATATTAAAAAGACTGAATTATTTTCAAATTGTAACACTTGTAAAATCATGGTACATTTTGAGCAAACGCATGCAAATTTCTTATAAAACTTTCAGCACAGCATTAAGGGCCTTAGCTAAAATCTAAGATCAGGTGTGTTATACAAGCACATCATTGGTATAAAGTGTCCCGAGGATGGTCACAGTCTTAGACAAATCTTCTTGTATGTCACTTGACTTAAACGTGCTACACAGCATAAACTGTAAGAAGAGCAGGTCAGACTATCCACGCCAGCACCTGATGCGGGTTAGACTAAATTTATTAGGGATGCATGACAGGGCATTTTTGCTAACAACTAATTTTGTCTTACAGCTGATGCAGATAAGAAATACTGGATAGGATCATCAGGTCTCTTCTTTTGCCAATTTCAGATCTAGTCTCTGGCCGTATTGCAATTTATCAATTAAAAACAATACAACACACCTTGTTTATTTTTTTAAATAATGTGATTTAAGTAATTATCATTGTGTGTTCCCATACAATGGTGAAATTTGTGCTAGAGCTGCATTTAACCCATCAAACGTGAGATACACTCTAAGTGGAGCAGAGGGCAGCTACGTAAGCCTAGTTAAGGAGTAGGTGTCTTACTCAAGGACATGACAGGGAATCAAACCTGTGACTTTCCAGTCCCAAGTCTGCTGCCCTACCACTGCAGCACAGCCTGTCACAGGGCTGGATGATTTTAATCAGGTTTAAATACAGAAATTAGCCACACTGTGAAAATTAGCCATGTAAAAAGAAGTTTTAAAATACTATATCATAGCCTGAATCTTCTCAAATTAAGTGAAATAATCTGCCAGTGCAGTAAGACAATTACACTTGATAAGACTTCTTGAAACAAGGAAAACTGTCCAGGCTAACAGAATTAATAATCACATCTTATTTAGTATATCAGTAAAAAAAAGAAAAAAACCTTTAGGCTGGATATAATATTGTAAGACTTGGTTAGATGGGCAATTTTTACATGCACAAACATGCCTAGATTGATTTTTTTTCTCGGATAATACAAATATATTTCAAAGTGTTTAATGAGTCAATACAAATTATGTGCTGATAATGATGTGCAATTTTAAAATGAAACATTTAAAACTTGTGCAAATTATGTATTATGAAGCATCCAAGCATGTGTTTGTGCTGTACAGATGTATTTTTTTCTCTCACTTTAAGTAAACCAAGTCACAGAATAGTTATTGCAAACTAAAAATTTACTGCAGACTCAAACAACAATTACTGTCCATTTTATTACAAGGCTTGTGTAGCTTTACCACATATTTGTATTGACATTTTGAAACTACGATGTAATAAAACCATCAGCCAACATAATATTTTTGTAAGGATAACAATAGAAATTTGCTAAAATAAAGAGAAAAACAGCAACAGCGTATTATTGAAAAACACACACAAAATACTGAGAATAGTGCAGATTTGAGGGTGAACTGTTTTCATAAATTTTCTTACGGAATGAGCTAAAACAGAGAAGACCTCAGTGTTAATGCAGAACTAAGAATGAACTTACTGTGGAGGAACAAGGCCCGAGGTCCGAAGAAAGGGCTGCGACGGCAAGAGTCATTTATAAAAGAAAACCTTTGCACTCAAAGATTAAAACAACATCCACCAAATGCCTATAGTGCGGAGTATGTCCGCAGCAGAGCAGAATAAGCTACAGGCTAGGATACAAGGCTAACAACAGAGATGATGGAGTTCAGCAGCTTGCATTGTGATTTCGGAGCCCAGCGTTAGCTAGCACGGAAATTTATAAAACGCTATTCTTTTCTGTAGATATTTCTCTGCATTCCCGCTGTGTTTCTGTAAAAACACACTTACCAGTAGGCTAGCGACGCTTTCGTTGCCATGATGAGCCAACAACTCAAACAATGGCTTCCTTTCACAGCGGACGGCTAGCAGCTGCTAAGCTACATCCAATATAGCTTCAGCTCTCTCCGTCTTGCGCGGCCGTCGAGAAGGTAGCAAACCTAAACTAAGCGACATTACAGTTAACTGTAAAAGGTACTAAAGGGACAGACTAAACTAGTGACCTCTGTTAGCCGCCGTTGGCCCCTGGTCAGAGACATCTTTGTACTTGTCAAATAGCAACCGAACAACACCTTCATGACTCCAGTTTGATTGATTAACAAATGAACCAATAGAGAACGACGAGGTAGGCGGGACTTACTTCGGGCCATTATCATTTGGTCTTGTATGTGGAAAAAAACAAGATTTTGACCCAATTACTTGTAGCTTGTGTGTATTTTCATTATAAATTTCTGTTTGCACTTTAATAAGTTTTTGTTATCAAAATGAGTGGCTTTAATTTTTCATTCAAAATAGTTGTTTTACCTGTCAAGGGTCACAGAGAGAGAGAGAGAGAGAGAGAGAGAGAGAGAGAGAGAGAGAGAGAG